TTTAAGATATGAATCAATGAAGCTGTACAAGGACCATGGATAATGTGACTGGAATAAGAATCAGGGCTTGTCTTTGAATCAGAGCGAGGTCCCTGATGGTGTTTACTTCATGTCCTGGCACCAAATGTGAGATGACATGAATATATTACCTTACTGGCTTTCCTGAGCAATCCCTGCCAAGCTCAGATCAGCTTCAGGAAGGAAAAGAGCAGCAAAGAGAATCTGTTTGGAAGTGTCAACTTGTGTCCCAATAACCCTGTCATCCCCAGTTACCACTGAAGGGTCTGGCTGTGACAGGGGCCACAATCCCGTGGGGAGAGCTGGGCACAGGGGGTGAAGGGGAAGGTGGTGACACCAGAGGCTGTTCAGGGTCTGAGGAAGTTTAGCAGCTGGCTGATGTCTTGTCCATGAAGCCCTGTGGTGCTGAATCTGTCATCTGCTTCCTGAGTGTCTCTTGCTCCATCTCTCCCAGTTGCATCACAAGGTTTCAGTTTCCTCAAATCCCAGTGTGGGACTGCGGGTTTTTGCAACATTCCCAGACGAGGAACAGGTTGGTCTGGGTTCAAAGTGTTCTCCAGGACTGCCTTGGCAGCTTCTCACCATGCCCTGCCCTGCCTGTGAGCACTGGGCAGCATTCAGCCCCACTCCCAAGGCTCATCTGCTTCCTATTCCCCTGGATGTTGTAATCCTTGGGGATTTTTAGATTGTGTGGGTTGGTAGGGATTTTTTGGGGAGGGAGGTGGAAAGCTGACATAAGAATTACGGTCATGGGGAGGTTTTGCTGCCCCCATTGCACCCACCACCTCCCCTCTGTCTGCTGCTGCCAAGAGTCTCCATCCCATGCTCCCTTTCCAGGCATCACCCCAGTGCTGCTGCTGTCCCAGTCCCCAGGCCAGCATGCCCAGCATCCCACATCATCCTCCTCCAACATGTGGGGGTGGTGAGCTGCAGGTCAGAGTGGCTGCAGGGGTTGAGGTCTCCTCTGGGAGCTGGGGGCTCAGGGCAGAGACCCACTGGGGGGTTTCCATCAGTGACACCTCAGTCTCTGCACACGTTGCACTGTTGCACTTGGACCCCAGAGCAGACAAACCCTATTTCCATGTTAGAAGGACAGTCTGGGCTGGTTTGGTTTAAGCATATTCCCCACAGCTCTGGCAGTGCTGCCTGCGGTCTGGATTCCATCGGCAGAGGAATGTCTGCTCCCAGCTTTGCCCTGCACCAGCAGCTTGGGTATCACTTCCTAGGGCTGCCTGGGGCTGGGAGGGGACAGCAGCTCCCTACATCACCACTTCCCTGTCCCAGCTCTTCCCAGCTGAGTTGAGGACATAGAACTGGGGGAATCCCAGTTTCTCGACACCGCCGATCTTTACAAGTAAACTGGTGACCAAGCGTTCCAGCAACATGGACAAAGACTGCCTGATTAAACTGGGATCCCATGTGGGCTCACCATGGGATGGAGATTCAGACAGTGATGCAACCCCAGCTGGACCTGGGGGGTCCTACTGGCTGTAGCCCCTTTGAACCCCCTGGTTAGGGGGGCATGTTGTGCTCCAGCCTGATCCCACAGTGGCTCACAGACCACCGGCACTGCCGGCGCAGCACTGGAGCATTAGGATTGCACAGAGGCCTCATGGGATCAGAGAAGCTGGGGGAAGGAAACCTGCAATAAGCACAGAGCATTTGTACAGGCTTTAGGCTAAATCCTTCCCTCCCTGGGTAGCAACACTGCAAAGCTGTTTCCTAAAGTCTTGTTATTCCTTTTCAGGCCAGGACTTTGCATTTGGCAGCAGGGCTGGATTAGGAAGAGGGAGAGAGAGGCATGGCATGCTGAGGGCATTGCTGGGTGAGCCAGGCTGGCAAACAGGGGCTTTGCTTCAGCAAAGTTCAGGGTGACAAGTCCAATGTCACCACGTCAGGTATCAAAGCAGCCCAGAGTGCCTCCGGGAGGAGGATGACGGTGCAACACCCAGCGTGGCATGCACCACACTCTTGTCTTCAGCCTTATTTCACTTAAAATCCCAGGACTGCTCCTGTTCTGGCCTGGAGAAGGGATCCTTGCTGAACCCCTGCAATAAGGGCTTGGGGCAGCTCCTGCAGCGCTTTCCCAAAGCGCTCCCTGAGGGAGTTCACAGGGTGTCTTCCCAGGGCCACCCCAACTAATGGTGAGTGTCCAAAGGTCCCAGGGAGCTGACATTGCAGGGGACACAAGAAGTCACTCACTTTTCTCCAGGAATCAAATCATGAGGCTGAACCCAGGCATGAGAGAAGGTGAGCTCAGCCCCGAGGGTCTGGATTTCGGGTGTTTGCCTTCACCCCAGACACAGTGGAGGAGTCAAGGGTGGGGATCTGCCATCATCCACATCCCACACACTGTGGAGCTGAAGTCTTGGGATTTTTTGCCTTCACCTCCCACTCGAGGATCGGGAGCCAAGTACATTTCTCATTGCACCCAGCGCACGGGAGGAGGAGAGGCAATGTGGGAGGGCACAGGGGGAGTGGGGGAAGCCGTGGGCAGGCAGGTACAGACCCCCCAGGAACATGATACACCACAAGCAGAGGTTTGGAAGGCCTGGAAATCCATCCCTACCCTCTGCAGCCAGGGTGGAGGATGGCTTTGATCTCTCCCTGTTGTGCAGAAGCTCTGGGAGAAGCAGACTTAGGCTCAGGAGGGACAGGGCACCACAGTGTCACCTCATCGTGGGGACAGGTCCATATGAGTTGGAGGTGGAAAGCAGGAGGGCTGCAATGCTCAACTGGTGAGGCGAGAGGGATCAGGGTGTTGAAATGAATTGGGATCTGAGAGAGATGGAGCAATTTCTTCAATACGGAGCACCCAGGCTGATCCAGCCTCCCTACTGGCCATGGGGACCAGGTTCTCTGTCCCCCACCCTGAACCCCATGGCCCCAGACTTCCCTGCCTTGGCAGCAGGCACTGTGCTGAGATCCCTTCTGGGACAGCAGGCTGCAGTGGTATCAAGGCAGCATCTTTCTCCTTCTGGAGCAAGTCACCTTCTAACCCCAAGCCCTTGAGAGCAACACTCGCGGGAAACCATGGAAACGGGCAGCAGGCACGTGACAGAGTGTGCCTGCACTCCTCCCCTGATTTATGTCCCCTGTCTGGGACAAGACACAGAAGTGAAGGGCTGTTGGAATCGTTTGGGATTTTGAGGCAGCAGAGCATCACCACCGCTTTACTCTCCCTCTCCTCTTTGCGGAGCAGGATGGCACATGGGAACAGGGCTGAGGTCCTGCCAGGGCCAGAAGTGATGACCCCAGAGAGGGAGGCAGAAATCTGGAAAAGGCTCTGAGACTTCTCACTTACTTTTCTAATTTTTCTAATATTTTAATATTTCTAAATGGAGACTCTTGAGCAGAGACCCTTCAACTCCTGGTGCCAGGGAGCAAAGCAATGCACCCACTGTGCCAGGCTCACCATGGAACCAGGTGCCAGTGTGGATGAGGACACCAGGCACAAAAGCTTCAAAGAGTCCTTTTCTTTAAACACACAACAAGTGATAAGCAGTGCTCCACTTGGATTTTTGCCCCACTGTTCATACTGGTCAGAATTTGGTCGTTTCCCCTTTTTGAAAGTGCTGTTTTGCTCTGGTTTTAAGCTGGGTCTCTCTGTGTTTAAGCTAGGTCTAAAGCACCTCTTCCCCTGCACTTTAAGGGCAGGCAATAAGCTTGGCCATGCCATCCTTGAACCAGAGGGGTTTCTCTGCTGCATGGTGACCACCTGGGGACATTGCAGTTAGTGTTTGAGCAGAGGCTCATGGACACTAATCCCAGGGGCCAATGGGCAGAAGGCAAATCCAAAAACTTGGTGAAAATCTGGTGATTCAGCAGCTGGTGATGGTGTTATTGAAAAATTCCCGACCTCTGGTCAGGTCAAATTGGCCACACTGCTGTGTTGCCACACCGGTGGTTTTGGCAGCTCCCAGCTGAGCTTTGTACTTGAGCCGAGGGATTCACGGGTGCCTGGGGCTCCCGGTGTGTCCCAGCACATATTCACGGGGGGACCCACAGTGGGGGATCTGCGGACGGCGTGTTCTCCACCAGCTCTCATTAGCTCTGCGAGAGCAAATTTGCTGACACCGCCAGTCTGGCGGCTGCTAACGGGGAGGTGGCCAGCGATGGTTTGGAGGAGAAATACAAGGCAAAAAGCCTCGACAGATCTGCAGTAACAAAGCTCCAGATCCCCAGGGGGCTCGGCCAGCCCCCAGCCTGCCTGCTCGGGTGTCAGAGCACACCCGCAGCCCGTCTGTCCGTCCGTCTGCCTGTCTGCCCTGCGAGGGTGCGCAGCGGGTGCGGGAGGCGGCTCCGCTCACCCGCTGCTTCCCTTGTCTCTGATCCCCCTCTGGGGGACTGCCGGTTATTACAAGTCTCCGTAGGATTTTCCTGCTCGCTGTGCAAATGGACTGTGCTGCGGGTTTAATACGCCGGATTGCCAAGGAGCTGGAGATGGCATTTGGGTAAAAAACAGCCCAAAAGCACACCCACGAAGGCGGCGGGAAGCCTGGAGTGGAGGTGTTCCCTGACAAGGCACTGCCAGGAGCGATACGAATGACAGTAATACCTTCATTTCACAAGTGTCTTAACTCCAGATCCCTTTCAGGATCTCGTGGGTCCTGCCACGAGAAGGGAGAGCAAATTCTCAGCATTGGAAAAGTCCCTATGGGACTGACCACAATCTCTTTTGGGGGGGCAAAGAGATGCTCACAGTGGGGGTGCCTTGTGTTCCCCTCTCGCCCCAAGAATCAGAGGGGAGTGTGGGTCTGTCCTTCCAAATATCACCTCCTGCAAAATCAGGGAGGGCAAAGAGGAGAACCAAGGCAGAACTTGGAGCAGCCAGAGGTTGGGCTAACTTTAACTCAGCACTTTGGATTCTGAATTTCCTCTGAGCTGTTTACGAAGGGCTGGAAAAAAAACTTCCAGCCCTACCTCCCCCCGCCAGCACCGTCCTGATGTTGCCCAGAACATCGCTCTCATCCCTCCCTTTCGTGGAGAAAAAAAAAAAAAAGAGAAGGAGGGAGGAGTGGGAGAGAGGAGGAGAGAGGGAGAAAGTGAGCTCACGTTCACACATTGGTGAAGAGGCTGGTCTTGCAATGCCTTTGAATATTTTACTTTTAGGCAGTTCCTCATCAGTCAGCCACACACATCCGAGGCGAGCTGAAGCTAACTACAGCCATGGACAGCACTGGGAGATCTGAGATCTGACTGCACGCATCATACCTCCGGGATATTTTTTAAATTACATATATAAACACGCCGACAGGCAGCCGAGCTCACACACACACACACACACACACACACACACACACTCTCATACACATCCACACATCGCAGAGCCGCCAGCACCCGCACGGCCGCCGAGCAAACACCTTGTCTCCTCTCACAGGATATACCCGCTCACACACATCTCTCTTTATCTCCTCCTGGCTTCCCGGAGGATCCTGCCGGCTGTTTTTCATGGAGAAAGTCCAGGGAGAAATGGAGATTGAGAGATGGGAAAGAAGTGAAGAGATCTCAGACGCAGAAAAAAAGGTTATTCAAGAGATATGGAGCAGAGTATATGCGAACTGCGAGGACGTTGGGGTCTCCATACTCATCAGGTATTTAAAAAACAAAACGAAAAAAAGGAAGCAGCAAATCCAACTAAATCTCTTTATAGCTGAGGAAGAGGCAGAACAATATATAGAACTGAGCAGAGATGAATGACAGTGAGTGGGGAGCTGGCTGGGTGTATTCACTGCCTGGGAGAGCAGGGAGGGTTGCACAGCGCTCCTCGGATTCCCACACCTTTGAGCTGGGTGGCGGCGGCGGGGGGAGAGGGGGCAGCCTTGCCGGGGACTTTGGGGGAAGCTGCTTCCATGCAAAGGTCACCTTACCCTGTGGACAGGGCTGGGGGGGTGGCGGAGGCGGGGGGAGCTCAGCGCCGGGTTTGGGTGGGTTGGGGGTCTGGGTTTTTACACCCCCCCAGTGAGCTGCGTGCGGATGGCACGGGTACGTAGCAGGCTGGCGGGTGAAATAATGCAAGTTGGGAGCCAAGATAAAACCCAAGCAGGTGTGTCTCCGAGGGCACCATCTGTCCCTCCGGCGGCAGCGTCGGCGGGAAGGAGGGCACTGAAGTTGGCCGTGGATGGGGGGCTTGGGGGGCACAGGCAGGAGATGGGGGCTGTGGGGGGACAGGGACCCTGCAGTCCCGGGATCGGGGTGCAGAGCATCGCCCGATGGTGTGGGGCTGTGCAGCACAGACGGGCAGCTCCAAGTGTCAGGTCTGTACCTGAAACCAGAACAAGGGAGATGCTCTTGAGGTGGGGAGCAGAGGCAGGTGGGGGTTCTTGTGTTGTCTGCAGGTGCAACTATGTCCTGGTACCCCAGGAAAGCATCAAGCAGGAATCCCACAGGGTCACATGGACTCTGTGACTTTGGGGTGTCAGTGGGGTGTAGCACCAGCAGGCCGTTTCCCTTATTTAAGAGGGGAAAAGAGGATGGGCAGGATGAGGAGAGGGGCAGACAAGATACCCACACTGACCTCTTGTTAAAAACAGCAAAGATACTGTCCAGAGAGCCAAAGCTCCCACCATTCGTCCCAGGGATCAGTAATGCTGGGATGTCCCTGGTCAGGCTCCCACCTGGACCCAGCGCCAGGCATCCCAGTTTGGAAATGGGAGACCGGGTTGTGTCCTTCCCATTTTGCTCCTGCAGTAGGGGACTCTGGGTGCGTGGAGAACTCCTTGGATGGATTTGCTGTTTACTAATAATCATTCCAAAGTTTTCCAATAGCCTGTGAGCTGATGCCCCAAGCCTGTAGGGTCTGCAGGGAGTGGAGCCTCCCTGGCCAATGCTGGTAAGCAGAGTTGATTTCCCTTCAGGCTTGCTGCCAGCACTGCAATGGGATTTTCCTACCAAGACCCCTTTGCAGATTCCAGAATGACATTGGGCATGAGGGGCATCAAGGTGTGGCAGCAGGGACCATGTGGCCAAGCTCTGGCCCTGACTCAAACTTTCCCAGTAGAAGTTTTCTGTCCAGTTTGTTGTTCTTTTATTCCGGGCATAGTTGTGGCACTGAGGTGAAGGTTTTCCCCTGCTGTGACAACAGGGCAGTTCAGAGCTGCCTCCTAGGGTGAACCCCAGCTCCTTAGGAGCCTTTACATCCTTAGTCATGGCACATGCCCTGGCACATCCCAGCTAAACCTGCCACCTGCTCTCTCAGCCAGAGCTTCCCTTGGATGCTGTAAGTGAGGTCTGGACTTTCAGTGCATGTCCCCGGGGACAGTGATGTAATTTGGAAGTGGTGCCATCCCCTCCAGCAGCACTGGTTGGAGCAGCACACCTGCCTGCATCCCTGTGCCACGGCCACAGCGGCTGAGCTGTCCCCCTGGTCACACACCCTGTCCCCAACGAGGGTTTTGTGCTGCTGCCCTGAGCTCCACTCTCCCCGTGAGCTCCGACAGGCTCCACCTGAGCTCCCTGGGGAAGCACGTGCCGGGCAAAAGCAGGGCAGCCCTGGCCAGGGCTGGAGCACCGGCGGCTGCTGCTCTCCCGGCTGCCTTTCCCAGATGGCATCAGCTGCCGGGAGAAGTGGGTCATGCGTGGAGGCCGCCGGGAGCACGGGCGGCGCGGGCCGGCGGCAACCACTTCCCAAGACATGATTCAGCAGCTCCAGAGGTCGGGGCTGGGGAGGGGGCAGTGGGCAGATGCTGGTGGGGGTTGGTGGGAGGTGACCTGGCCGACAGACTTTGGGTGGGCACCCACAAGACGTGCTGGGGGCTGAGTGCTGCCCAGTCAGCCTCCCTGCTTCACCAGTGCTGGGCCAGTGTTCCTCCCCACCTTGCTGGGGAAACTGAGGCAGAAAGGGATGTGCACAGGTGTGGTCAGGGAGAGGGGAGGGGGATGCACGGCTGTGGTGCCCCATTTGGTGCAACTCCTGTTCTTGGTGTTGTGACCAGGGAATTGACTGTATCTGGTGGCAGAGGGTCTTTCCATTCTTTCCTGCTCCATCCCCTCTCCATCCCTTCAGAGCTGCTTAGGGCAGGGAATTACTTTTCTGGACATAAAAAAGTTGACGTTAATCTGGGGTCTGATCCTGTGCCCCAAGGGTGGGGGCAGGGAGGCAGCAATGCCCCTGCAAAAGGCAGGGATGCAGTGCTGGCATCCTGCAGAAACCCAGCCCAGCTCCCTCTGCCCCAACCAGCATCCCACCCATCCACCCCCAGCCCTTCCATGCTTTGCTGATGGGGAAACTGAGGCTCAGAGCTGGGCATCGTGTTCCCATCCCCCGTGGCTGCTGTTAGTGCTTGAAGCCACAGCAAACCCCTGGGGTCCTGCCCCCAGCATGGTGGGTCCCTGATCTCACAGGGCTCTGGGGTCCTGGGGGACACAAACACAAATAATGGGGAATACGGCTGAGCAGCCACCGGATCCTGGGAATCTGCGCTCTGTGGTTAAAACTATGTCGCTAATTGACAATTTCCTCAGTGGGGAGCCTCCAGCCGGAGGAAGCACAGTCTCCTTGCCTCACTCATCTTCCTCCCTGGGAGCTCAGGGGCCTCTGCAGCTCCTTCTCACAGCTGCCTTAACCCTTGCTGGAGCTGGAGCTGGCTCTGGAGCTGCAGCTGGAGCCTGGAGCTGCTCATCCAGGGCCATGTGTACTGGCTGGGTCACTCCCAAGTGGGCATGCTGGCTGGCACAGATGGGAGCCCTTGGCTGCAGCTCACCCGTAGCCTCCCCATGCCCCCAGGCTCGTTGCTGTACCTCAGTTTCCCCATCTGTAATTTAGGAATAAGTCCTTCTTGAACCCCCCCTCACTCCAGAGCTCATGGTGGGGAGCCCAAGTGTACCAGGGGAGCAGGGCAGCCCTCAGCCCCCCTGCCACCTGCATTAACCCTCACTGTGCAGTGCAGGAGCCCCCCAGAACGTGGCCATCACCCCCCAGGGTCACCCTTTTCCCTCCCAATGGTTGATTGCCAGTACCCCACACTCTGAGACTGGGCTGGGGGATGCAAGCACCCAGGTGGCTCAGCCCTCCGTGGCACACAGGGGCTGGGAGCACCCATGGGGGAGCATCAGTGGGGGATTGGCACCCTCAGTTCTTTGCAGACCCTGACTAAGCCCAGGATTCCATGGCTAAAACTGCAGCCTGTCCCGACCAGCACACACACACTCGCTCCCACACCCACACACACGTACCACGGTCACAGATGTGGGACCACAAAACTTTATGGATCCCATCGGGGGATAAAACCCAGGAATAGTTTCTATTAGATCCCAGGAAAATCTGTACCAAATGTTAATGCTGCACCAAGAGCAGGCGACGCAACCTGCCACAGCCACCACAGGCTGTGCCACCTCCACAGGGCTTCTCTGTCACTGTTCCCTGCATTTCCACTCCAGGCCCATCAGCTTTCTGAATTTCCAACGTTGTTACCTTCTCCATCACTTCTGACGTGTTCTTTCCCCCTCAGGAGGTATAGGAGGGAAAGCAAAAGGTTTGTCAGTGCAGGATCAGGCCCCCGGATTTCGACAGTCTGGGTCTGCTTAGCCTGAGCAAACACACCTGGATTCAGACAGTTTGCAAAGAGCTTTGAAATATGAAAGCGGTCCTTGGATGCCAGACATTATTGGAAGTTTTAGGTTAAAATAGGAAAAAGTCTGAGTAATGGGTCTGGCAATGCAGAAAACTTTTTTTTTTTTTAGCTGAATCTAAAAAATATGGGTTGAATCCACGCAAAAATGGCATTTAAAGAAATGATTATGCAGCTACCCCCAAAGCCAACATGTGTTTTGTGGAGGCGTCTATAGGGCTCCATTCCTGGCTGTTGAAGGGCACATTTCAGAGCAGAGCAGCTCAGAGAGATGCAATATCTCGCTCTGAAAAGGGCCCAGTGAAAGGACCAGCAGCAATGTCCCTGTCCCATGGCTTGTCCCGTGCTCACAAGTCATTGTGGTCAAGCTGGGGAGATGTTTTTCCAGGGACAGGGAGAGACAGAGAGCAGCAGGACACTGCTGTGCTGACAAGGACATGCACGAGGAACATTTCCCAACCCAACAGCCTTTCCATGAGTGGTGAAGGGGTGAGTGTGGGTTTAATAAGGTCAGTCTTGAAACAGCCCCTTTTCCTATGACTGTGTTGTCTCTCTGATCACCAGCCCTTTCACCTGCCTCGCGGCCAAGGTGGCTGCGTGGGGATCCCTGTGGCACATCCTGCCCCAGACACAGCCTCAAGGCTGTCAGCAGCTCTTGGGGTGACCCAAGAAGAGCCTTTCCCATGTCCCCTGTCCCAGGGCTGCCCTTGCATTGCTTGTGAACCTCGCAGGGGTACAAAGATCCCACTTGACCCCCCGAGAGCTGAGAGGACGTCCCTGTCCAAGGGAAGCAAAGGCACGGGGGATGAGCGGTTTCCCCGGACGGTTTCCCTGTCTGTGGCTAAGGACATGCTGGATGCGCTGGTACCAGCCCTGACAATCCCTCCTCCAGAGCAGGCGGCGAGGGCCAAGTCTCCGCTCTGCCAGCCCGCTCCGTTAATGAGGCTGCAGCAGCAGCGGAGCGGGGCTGCACCCGGACGCGGCTGGGCGAGCGCCCGCCTGCGGAGTTTCAGGGCTCATTAAAGGCAGGGAAATGTCAGGACAGCCCTCGGCAGGCTGGCAGGCGCTGAGCGCGGCTGGGGAACGCAGAGTGCCGGCTGGCTGGCGATCCTGCTGGAGCACGGCGCCGGGGGCGAGCGCTGAGCCGGGGCTGCTGGAAATCCCCTTGGGAGCATCGGATTGTAGACGTGTGGTGGTGGACACCGGGTAAACACAGGTTCCCGATTTTGCTGGACGGATGGTGGGGCCCAGCACACAAACCACATCCTTGTGAGTTTTTGTCGCTCCCCTCTCTACCTGGCCAGGGGGTTTCTTCCAGCTCCAAACCCCTCTGCAGTCCCTGGGGGTCAGGGACTTGCAGCCCAGCTCCAGAAAGCTCCATCCTCACTGTGTGTTTGCCTGGGAGGCAAGAGTCTTGTTTTCACATCGTTTCCTGACACCCATAGACCCTGCTGGGCCTCGTAGGGCTGTAGGAAGGATGCTGGGTGCAGGGCGAGATGCTGGTGGTGGGGTAGAGGAGCCTGATGTGTTCCATCCCTGTGTGTTGCTTGCATCCAGTGGGCAGGGACAACGGTTTAGCAGTGGAGAGGGACAGGGACACAAATGCAGAGGGGCTGAGGAGGATGCTGTGCATGAAAGCATTGAGAATAGGGATTGCAAGGGAAGTAGGAAGGCAGAGGTGTGTGGGAAAGCCACTTTGGAGCTGTTAATTCACTTACTGATGAAAGCTGTCCTTACCCCTGCCCTAAAGGTTCATCCATGCAGCCAGGAGGCTTAGGGCTGAATCTACATAAGTGGTAGGGAAAGACAGCAGCCGTGAGGACTTGGAGGTGTGAATTGTGCACACTCAGGTGAGAAAGACATGCCCCTGGGGGTTGATAGCTCATACCCAAGTGTATTTGGTGACATCTTTGCTGATGGGTCCACTCCCAGCCTCCCTGGGGTGTCCTGGTCCCTCTGCCCTTGGGCAGGGGGACATTACAGCCTCTGAGCAAACCTCAGTGTTGTGTTGGATTCTGCTCCCAAGGCTTTGCAGCGGGATGTGGGCTTCACCTGGAGGAAGGCCAGCTACAGCTCCTCTCCCTCAGCTGCAGAAGAAGTTGAATTTAGCATCAGTGTGTGGATGGGGGGCTTGGCCCTTTTCCCTCCAGCCCTCCTGTGCCAGAGCTGGAGACGTTGCCCACCACCACCTCCACCTGCCTATGAGCTTTCAGAGAGAGGACGCAGGAGCAAGCAGGCACCATCCTATTCTCACTCCTATTTGCTTCCCCTTTTTCTGTCTTGCTGGGCTGTGGCATTGACACGTCTGAGACCTTTCTCACCTTAGGCTGGGAGCTGTAAACACTGGGAGCACCCTTGCCCCAGCCTGAAGATGGATGATAGACTACAGGTGGCTGGGAGGAGCAGGGGGGAACGTGCAGGCGAAGCGGTGAGACAGCCCTCGGCATAATAAATAGCAGCATCACACACCACCTGCCTACCCATTATCAGCTGCTTTGTAGGCACCCGAGCAGAGGGAGAGGTTTGAAAAGGGACGGGGAGAGGCTCCAGGCTGCCTTAGAGCTTCTCCCACGTAGAGGGACGAGGCGAGAGAAAACATGAAAGCATTGATAGGTTGAGTCACCAACCCTGGAGGGATTTAAAAGATATGTGGTTGTGGCACTTGGGGACGTGTTTTGGTGGTGGGCTTGGCAGTGCTGGGTTGAGAGTTGGGCTCGGTGATCTTAAAGGCCTCTTCCAACCTAAATGATTCTATGGAAATCTAGAAAATAACAGTCTCCAAGTGCTGGCTGGGGGTTCAGCTGAAGCCTCCCAGCAGCTCTGAGGGCTCAGTAGCATTTTCCCCCTCAGTTTACAAACAGGGTAAGTGAAGCATTAAGGGTTTAGGTGCTTGGGGGGACTGAGTGAGTAGCACCCATATGTCCTCTGTCCAGCTGGGGAGGGAAAGAGGTGGCTGGGCTTGGAGATTTCCTCCATGCAGGGTTTGCTCTTCACAGTCTGGGGAGAGGGAGGAAGATGGGGCAGATGAGAGGAGAAGTGGCATCTCCTCCCTAACAGAAAACAGGTTTCCAGTAACTGCAGTGGGTTTGCACCTTAATTATTTCCTTTGGCTCTGCTACTGGGAATGGTTGTGTCCTTAAAGTTGTTAAAAGGGCAAAAGAGAGAGGAAAAGCAATCCTGACATCCTGTCCGCTGGGTCCAGATGTAGCTGGCAGAGTACAAATTAGCGGGTGCAGAATGGAATCGCTTAAAAAGAAATTTAATGAGATTGGTATGCAGGCATCTGGTTCCTATCAATCATCATTTTGTGTGATATGCAATGGTAAATATCATCTTTTTAATGACTCTGATGAAGAAAAAGAGCCCAAACCACACACACACACATGCATAATGATCCAACAAAATTGCAGAGCCTGCGATGTTTGAACTCTCAAAATGTTCTGTAGATGGAAAAACCCCAACTGACACCTCTTCTAACTCGCCATTGTTTGAGTTATTTTATTTCTTACTTTTTTTTCCCCTTCCTTTCCTCTAGTTATATTTAACCTTTGTGTTAAATTAATCTTCTCTGTTTATTAACAACTAACCCTGAGTGAGCCTCCCTCCCTCTTCTTGTGCTTTGACAACTCAAACATTTGCCCGAGGCCAGAGGTTCTTGCCTCAGGCGCCTGCTCCTCTCCAAGGAGAGGTGGCTGCAGGTCTGGCCGGCCATGGATTTGCTTTTCAGCTTGAAGGAAAGATGGCTTGGGCTCCTCTCTTTCAGGTCTCCACCAAAGACAGCCAGCAGACCCAGGATGGAGCACACAAGCTGAGGGTTTGCTGGTTTTACATCCTCCAGCACCAGTGCCCTCCTGATGGCAGGTCCCTTGGGAAAGCTGCTGGCCTCAGCTCCCATGGGGGCATCACCTTGAGGTCTGTGAAGTGGGGAAAGGCTGGAAACCAAATATTTGCATCCTTCACTGGCCTGGTCTCACCCAGGTTGGGGACTTTTGGGGGTTTAATCAATCTTTGCCTCTGTCGTATCTGGCCAAAAGTGGGGAGAGGTGGAGGTGATGATCTCAGTGGCTCCTTTTGGTCCTTCTCTTGGCAGGGACATGCTGAGATTCCTGGTGATGCAAGGGTCAGTCTCCCCCTTGCTGTTCCCCTTCTGCTGAAAGAGCCTGGCTGAGCCTCTCTGTGGTGACAGGAGCTGGAGACAGCCAGGCCTGGGAATGATTTCTCCCAGCAGGGACCAGACGTGTCAGGAGGAGCTTTGCTAGGGGCAGGAGGCTGCACAATAACAAGGGGAGTTTTGTCATGGGTCCCTTCTGAGTTTTAAAAGCAACACCTTGTCTCCCCCTTCCTTCCACCTTCCTTCCTCCCCCCCTCCTTTCCACCACACACTCTTCACACCTCCAATACCTATTTTGGGCCATCTGATGAATCCCAGATGCCTTGGGAAGCAACAGAAGCGGTGGTGCACTCCAGGCACTGCTTCACTCTGCTTCCTTGGCAATGCCCCCAAGCTTTCACAAGCCAAGGGAGCGGGGGAAGGAAGGGAGGGGGGGAAAAGGAGGATAGCAGAGTGGTAAGGAGCCTGGTACTCAATATTGCGATTATTCATGGAGTGGTGAGTGGGGAAGAGGATCCCACCTGGTTCTGGAGGGAAGTAGTGATGGTTGGAAAAAGTGGTGGGATGGGTTCAGGTTCACATGGTTTGGGATGGTGCTTAGGAAGGGGGCTAGAGAGGGAGTCTGTCTGGACCCAGGGATGATGGGGGACAGCTTGGGAGCCCTCTGCCACTTTCTGAGCATCTTCCTCTGGTCCAGGAGGCAAGGAGAGCCCAGTAGGAGGGAGAGAGCTGGGTGAAATCAGAGAGCAAACACTGACGTGGTTTTCTTTTGCATAAATTGGGTGGAAGGGGGTGGTTAATGTGACTCAAGTGTCAGCCCCAGCTGTTGAGAGCAACCAGCTGCACTGCTGGCATGGGTGGTGTTGGCATCCCTGCACCCTGTCACCTTATCCCTTTCAGCCCCCAGCCCCCTCCATCCCTCCACCTCCCAGGGGAGCACATCAGCTGCAACCACACTTTAACTTCTTTCAGCTGCGTTTGGGTGGGGTTGATTTAATCCTGCAGAAAAGAGGGTCTCCAGTCCCCCTCAGAGGGGCTGGTTTGGGATGTCCTTGTGCTGGGGGAAATGTCTCCTGGTACAGATAAGCAATGATGTGAGCTCAGGGCTGAGATGCAGCAGAAGACTGATCTGTGAAAGCTGGGGGTAACCTGGGTAGGGGGAAACTGTTTGGGGTGGCAATACAGGAATAAAGCCCACGGGGCCAGGAAGCTGCTGTGAGACTGAGGAAGAGGGGCAGGGAGAGACTGGCTGAGATAAAGAGAGGTTTTCATGCTCATCTGCAGCTCTCTGAGGCATGTTTTGATGTATGTGGGCATGAATACAGCATCTGGCACCTGGGTGGAATCTCTGGGCATCAAGAACTCAGTCTTGCCTCTGCTTTGTAGATGAATACCCAGCTGTGATGCCTGTGTAGCAGATGGGGAAGGTTTGGGAGAAAGGCATCAACCTGCTGGTTTTCAGGCAGCTGAATTCTGGGGAATTCAGCAGGAAAACCAGCCCTGGCTGTGTCAGATGCAGGAGGTGGCTCCACCACTCTGTGCTTTGCTTTAACCCCTCAGCCTGCTCTTGCCCTCCTGATGGTATTTCGTGTCGATTCTTTCTTGAAGGTTTTTTGTGAACTTCCCCTCGGCCAAGCAGTACTTCAGCCAGTTCAAGCACATGGAGGACCCCCTGGAGATGGAGAGGAGCTTGCAGCTGCGTAAGCACGCCCGGCGGGTCATGGGGGCCATCAACACTGTGGTGGAGAACCTCAATGACTCCGAAAAGGTCTCCTCCGTCCTGGCCCTGGTGGGCAAAGCCCATGCCCTCAAGCACAAAGTGGAGCCCATCTACTTTAAGGTAAAGGATTGGACCAAAGTAATCTTTGGGGTGCTTTAGAAATTAGGAAGAGGGCAGGAGAGAGGGAGCTGTGGGGAGCTGGTGCTGCCTGTCCTCGCCCAGAGGAGCTTGGCTGGATGTGGGGGTTGCTCCTCATGTAGCTGGAGTGTCCCACTGTGACACTGTCCCATGCAGACCACCCTTCCCACACACAGTCACTGGAGCATCCAGTACATTCCCCTGCCCAGGGGATCCTGCCTACCTGTGTCCTGCTCGCAACCCCACCAGCATGTTCATGGCTGTATGTCCCTTCTTTTAGAAATCAAGCATCACAGTCGGGACTAAATAATCTGAGGTGCCCAAATGGGGCACCCCACCATGCCTTGGTCTCTGGTTACCTGCCCTGTCTGTTCCCAGGAGTGTCAACAGACCTTCAGGATATCCATCTGTCCCACTGAAGGTCTCGTTCCCAGAAATCAGCAGGAGGATTCAATGGCTTTCCCTAGGAAAAAGCAAAATGTGCTGTTAGCTGCTCCCTGCAGAGTTATTAACCCCTTGCTGTCCTCCTCCTTCCAGAAACTCACTGGTGTCCTGCTGGAGGTCATTGCTGAGGAATACCCCAACGACTTCACCCCGGAGGCTCACGGTGCCTGGACCAAGATGAAGACCCTCATCTACACCCACGTGACGGCGGCGTACAAGGAGGTGGGCTGGGCTCAGTACCCCACTGCCACCCTGTGAGCGGCCAGCGGGGCCAGGCGAGGGGCAGGGAGGGCTTCACTCACCCCAGGACTTCACTCTGGTCTCTTCTCAAGATCTTTGCTCAGTCTGAGGAGCCTGGTAGGGCCAGCTCTGTCAGCTGCCAAGTCACAATTTGATCTCCATGGGGTTTAAAAACAAAAGAAATAAGCCAAAAAAACCTACAGAACCACAAAGGGTGTGGGTGGGTCGGGGTGAAGCAGTTGCAGGGGACGCTGGAAGGGGATGCAGAGGGTGAGGGGAGAGCACTGGTTGTTGGCTCCATCTTACTGTCCTGGCCTGTCCACCACCACCTCCCAAATCCTGCACCTCACTTGCGCCATCTCAAAGTCCCTTGCACAAGCGCTGCCGCCCCGTTCGATGATGAACAACACAACCCTCATTTTCCGTGCAAAGCCCCTGGGTTAGGCCCGGCTTTGGGGGGCACAGTGCTTATGGAGACGTCCAGCTGCCCAGCTGGCACTGAAAATGCTTTGCTTTGCACTTTGTGTGTCCCCTGGCAGGGTGGCAGAGCTGACAGCTGTGCCCACAGCGCTCTCGGTGCCCGTCACCCTGCACTCTGGGCTGGCTGCAGTCACCCTGCACTCTGGGCTGGCTGCAGCTGTCACCTCTCCCGTCACCCACAGTCCCTCTCCTTGGCTGGCTGCTGCAAACCCCCCTGGGGCTGGAGGGAGTGAGGGGGAGGGAGAGACGTGCTCCTGCAGCGTGAGAGAGTGGGGAAGGAGGGGGATGCCTTTGGGCTGCCTCCCCTCGTGCCTCGGAGCATGGTGTGTAGGTGGGATCCCTGTGTCATATGTAGGGAGCTGGTGAGTCCACCCACTGCCCTTCAGCTCCCTGAGGATGAGCTTGGGTGGCACATGTTGTGCCATTGCCCTGGGAGCTGGTGTGTGTAGGTCTGTCTGTCCAGCTCTGCCCTGCACGGTGAGAAGGGGGGTTTGGGCTGTGACCAGGAGGGGAAAGATGGTATGGACACAGCAGGAGGGATTCCTAGGTGTGAAGAAAGGTCCCTTCTCTGTTAAAATTAATAAATAACTTGTTGTATATTTACATATTCCTGCCCTCTTGGTGACACTGGGTTCCTTCAAATAAAGTGCCTGGTAGAAATCAGCCCATGCAGGAGCTGTGTGCCCTGCCCGGGGACGGCAGTGCTCCTATCTGTGCCTGACAGAGGCTTCTCCCCTGCCCCCCAAAAAGTGGTTGCAGGGCTCGCAGCACTCATCCTGCCTCCAACACCAACTCCTGCTGGGCCTCCGGGTGAGTCTGCTCGGTTTGTGCCTCAGTTTCCCCTGCAGTTACAGGAAAAAGGGAGGAGAAGCAGCCCCGTTGCCTCCTGCCCATGAGTGGTTGGATTTATAGGATTTCTGGGAACTGATTGGCAAGGGGTTGAGGATGTGCCAGATGTGCTGGGAAGCTTTGGAATCCTTGTCATCCAGTATTTCCCTAAAGGTCTCTTATTTTTAGAGCTCTAGCACTAAGGACAATGTTATCTGTTGAAGTGGAAGGGGGTTCCCTTCCAAGATTTCCTCTGGCCTCACTCCACTACTTGTCCTGGAGAGCTGGCAGCTTCCTGAGAGAGACCAGCTCCTCTCCTGGATGCCAGCTGGATAGGCAGAGAGCCCATGGTTCCTACTGGGATCCCCAGGGCCACCTTGGGGACATCCCCCTGCCATGGGGACACGGACCCCAGCCCTGCCCTTTCCACTGTGCCAAGGTGTCAGCACAGCCCGTGGCTGGGGAGCAACCCCAGGACTGCTGCTCAGAGCAGCAGGGCAGGTGTGTCTGGGTGAATGTGCCCCTCCTTGGAGGGCTCTGTTGGATGCAGCCAGGAGTTTGTGCCATCACCCAGTGCCCTGGCTCTGGGCAAAGTGGATTTGGAGAAGGCTCTAAACCTCTTGGCTGCATTCCCCAGTGTTCCCTTACCTTCCTGCAGAGCCAGAGGAGCAGAGTTAGTCCCAGAATAGCTCCAGGGCTTCAATAATGTCACTACAGCCAATCTGGCCTTGCAGTTCTTTCCTTCCTATGTCCCACAGTAAAACTGATGGAGCAATGGCACCTGGAGTGATGGCACATCCTGGGTGTCCATTGGGTGGAAGTTATGGCTCAGGGCACAGCTGTCCTTGGCATGGCAGGGTGTGAGATCAAGGAGGTTGAAAAAGGAAGGCACAGGGTGACAGGTGATGCTACCTTTGCTCATGAGGCGGGCTGTCATTTAGAGCCAACACCCCCAAAATTCAGCCCATCAGCCTGCACTGGTGAAGGTGCCAGCAGCTGCTGCCTCTGGCTCCCATCAGAGTGTCAAAGCAGCTGCTCATCCCTCATGTCAGTGAAGGCATCCTTCAAGCAGCTGTTGCTGCCCAGGTCGGGAATGGATGGGAAAAGCCCGTTCAGCATTGACTTTGCTCCAGTGCAGGACTGGAGAGCAATTTCTTGGACAAGACTGTTAGATTATATTTTTGTGTGTGCACATCAGAGGACTCTCACGAGCACAGCTTCCCCAGTTCCTGCCAAAACCTTGAGGCCAGCAGCACATGTTTTTGATGAGTTCATGTACTCCCTGTGCCCTGCAGTTGCTGGGCCAGGGGTGTTTCTGTAGAGGGATGTTTCATCTTCAGACAAAATTTGCACATTAACCTTCAAGGTTAATATTGTCCAGGTGGGAATTTTATTTTTGCAGTGCAAGCCCTTCCCTTCCCACGACCAAAACTGGGCTCCCAGTCCACAGGGAAGCCACTTTGGGGTGGCTGGAAAGTCCCCATGTTTGTACCTGACCCACCCGAGTGCCTTGGTTTTGGGGGAGCAGCAGGGAGGTCCTCCCACTTAGTTTCTCCTTTCTTTTTTTACATCTCCAGAAAAAAACCTGACCCACGGCCTCGTGTGCCCACGCATGTGTGTGCTGGGCTTGAGGTTTTTTTCCAGGAACGTTTTCCTAAAGCAAATCCAGATGTGTGCAGCTGCTGTCCCTCGAGGAGTGCCCTCTCCCCCCGCCCCCCATCAGCCAAATTGCAGGCCAGTCCAATAGATGCAAACAAAAACATGTTTATTTTTACCAGTTTCGTAGGAAGTAACATGAAGCAGGAGGGCAGCCAGGGCAAAGCTCCGGGGGGGGGGAGGAGATGGAGATAAAGCGAACGCCCCCTCTTTGCCGCCCGCAGCAGAGGAGGTATTGCTTAAACCGGGAAAAATTCTCATCTGGGGAGAGATGAAAATGAACAGAAAAAGGGAAAAAAAAAAATACCATTCCAGAGTGACAGGGCTGATAAATGCCGAGTGGAAGAGCAGAAAGGGAGGCCGGGTCCTGGCTCTGTGCGTGGCTCTCCAGCACACACACACACGCACAGTCGTTCCCTGTTACTGCCAGCCCCATCCACCCCCATCCCTGAACCCTCCACAGCTGACTGGGGACCCCCTTATCCCCCCCTTTCCATCAGGTCTATCTAACTCTCTGGGGCTTGATGTTTCACCTCCTGGCACTCTTAGGCTGAGCTTAGGGCACTTTAGGATTGGTTTTGCTCTCCTTGGTGGTGGTAGGTAGGGACCAACTTGCAAAGTCCTTCCCCCAAAATTCACAGGTAAGAAGTTGGGGCTCAGGGCATGATGCCAGCACATGCTGCTCTCTCTCCTGCCCTGGGGAGGATCCCTGTGTCCCCCAGCCCTGTCCAACCCCTGGCTCAGCACATTGCCATTGCCATCAGGGCTGGGCTTGTACCTGTGATTGGGATGGGAAAACCTTTGTGACCCCTGCCAGAGGCAGATGGATGATGAGTAAGGGGGGGATTTGGTGTCCCTAGGGTAGGTTTTTCCCCCCAAGCACCTCATCCTGGCTCTCTTTGGGGACACCCACTCATATCAACCAACTTTTGTCGCCCCACCCCAAGTTCAATGTTTGGTCAGAGGGAGCTGAGTGCTGGAGGGAATGGGAAGTGTTGGGTTGGAGTGGGACACAGATCCTGTCCACCCTATCCACTCCCTCCCTGTGGCCAACATTCATGGCAGGTTTAGCTCCACAGGCACCTGAACAGCTGGAGAGGCACCCCAGCACCACCACAACCCTTAGGGACCTTGTGCCACCACCCTCATCTTCTCTTGTGGTGAGACAAATCCCCAAGGCAGCTGAGCCACGGGTTCTTCCACGGGAGTCCTCTTGCATCCCTGCCATTTTGCTCCACTTTGTCCCAGTAAAGGGGATCCCAGTGTCTCCCCACTCTCTGGGGGTGCCCAGTGACTTCAGTGGGGACCAGATTTTGTCTGGCTGGACTCTGGTGCCAGAACTCAGCCTTCCCTGCCCCTTGCCGTGGGGAAGCTGCCCTGGTGCAGAGATGCCGGTGCGAGGGCTGCTTGGGTCCAGCACTGGTGAAACCAGACAGATGGATGGGAGGGAAACCCATGTGCTAACCTTGGACCAACTTAGGGAAAGGGAGGGATAAAACTACCCGCCTGGGTCTGACCTCTCCGACAGGCTGCGGCGCTAATTATTTTCCATAGCTGAAGTTGTCTCTAATTGTTAGTATGTCTTAACCAGTCCCAGCGTGACCCACAGACATGAGCTGGCGTGGTCTGATGTAACTCCGTGTCTTTCCTGTTCCTGCTGCAGATACTGTTCATGTTCGTGTTTCTCGGCGCTTCCGTGCTGGTTTTATACTTGGCCGTTCCGTGTACGATGGGTGTAACTTGTTTTTCTTTTTGTAGGTTTTTAGTATGTTTGTAACCGGACAAAATGGTGTTATTAAACTGAAACTTGTATCTTCAGTGGATAAATCAATCAAACCCCCTCCAGCTCTGCTTGGTTTCTTTCTGGTGGGGTGGCTGCAAGGTGAGGGGTTGTCGGGGGGGCTGCCCCATGGCCAGATGGGTCTGGGGGTTCCTGCTAACTCTGAGGGAATGGTGAGGGAGCTTTGTGGCTGGAAAGCAGCAGCAAAGGGAGGGAATGTGCCCTTCTCTGTCCTCTGCAACGAGGGTTGGGGAGGTGGCTGGAGGCATCTTACCAGCGCAAGTGAGAAGGGGAAGGTCTGCTCCTCCTCTGGGCTCTTCACTTGGCTTCCAGGTATGTTGTGCAAACCTCCAGGGTATCTCCCTGGATCAGGAGCTGTTCCTGTGCCTTTGCCAGCCCAGCCAGGCCAAAATGTGTGCTGATGGCCACAAGATGCAATGACCACAACCACTGAGGGCTATGAGATAGTTCTCAGCCTGTAAAAATAACAAACAGCTCCCTGAGCAGCAGGAGTCCCATTTTCCATGTCTCTATCCCTTGCAGCTCCTCCGGTGCCTCTCGCTGTGGTTGGATCACGTTGCAGTGGGATGGATCCCAGCACGGTTGGGTCACGTTGTGGTTTCCCCCCATGGGTCTTTGCAGCTCCCTCGTTTGCAAAACAGGCCCATGACGTATATGAGACCTCTGTCAAATTCAGTTGGCACTGGCCAACCTTTCCAAAGTTGTTGGCAGAGGACGGATGGATGGACAGACAGACAGACGCGTGCTATGATCCCATAAGCCCAATTTCCCTGGAACACAAGGCTTGGAAAAGAAATTCAAGCAATCCTGTTTATCGTGCTCCTCTTTACTCCAAGAACAGAACAGGCTTTCAGGGAAGGGAAAACCCACCCCACCAGGGTGGCAGGAAGCACCAGCACCTGGCCACAAGCAATTTTAAGGGGAGCAATCCCAATTTAGGACTGAGACTGAGGGGGGAATCAGTGAGTTCTGAGAGGAAGGAGAGCAGAGATTGGTGTCTTGGAGGCTGCCCAGGGTCATGGGGAGCCCGATGGTGACTTGTCTCCGGTTGGGCTGAGGGCGTTGGTGATGCTCTCCAGCCCTGCACGTGGTGGAGTAGATTTTGCATGGGCAGGCACTTGAGCTGGGGTCCCCATGCTACAGCAACTGGGGTGTCCATGCAAGGGGAACCTATTTCTTTCCCTACAGCTTCACCAACCATAGCCATGGAGGAGGAAACCAGAGGCCAACCTACATGGGGAGAGGAATAACTGCCTAGTTCAATCTGTCTTCTCCCGCTGTGCCTTTTTTTGTGGGGGGAAAAACCACTTGGTGTTGTTCATGTGATTAATAAGCCATCCTTGGAGTCTCTGCTGCATCCTGTATACACTTCCAGGCGGAAGAAAACAGTCAGCAAAGCCTGCATGCTGCTGTGCTCCAGATGGGAAACATCGGCTTGGAAACCACGGGCAAAAGGACTGGCCTGCTCCAGAGTGGGGAGGCTACAGTGGGGACCTGAAGCTCTTAGACCTTTGCATGCTGAGCTGAGACTAGCCAGGACCAGCAGTGGCCTGGAGGGCGCTGACATGGGGCTGGTTTTTCCAACAGCTTGTTGAAAAGGAGCCGGGAATTTCAGCATTACCTTGCAGGGAAAAAATATGTACACAGCCCTTTGCTTCATACTAATATTTACCCCCAGATCCCATCACGTCAGGGTGGCTGTGACGATCATGCCGTGACCTGGACCCTGCGGCCATGCCAGTGCTCTGCAAGTGCTGGTGGAAAAGGAGACAGGGTGGCAGGCTGAGGCTCACAGCCCTCTGGAAAATTGGCCCAGGCACCAGGGTGATGGGCTCACACCCTCTGGCTGCCCTGTGCCCGTGGAGTGCTAAAACAACCTTGTTTCCAAGCGTCCTAGCCTGGAGGGAGGGATCCCTTGCCCAAGGGAGCTGGTGGAGGTCCAGCTCTGAGAAATCACCTTCGTGGCCCCAGTGATGTTTTGTGGGCTGGGAGATGGAGGAAGAGAGGAATTTTATAGCGAAGGCGTAGCAAGGGATGTGCTCCCAGCCTGTCTCTCGTGCTCCAGCCCCAGGATAGACCCTGCACCCCACCCCACTGGCCACAGGGTCCAGTGCTCCCTGCCCAGTGCCTGCCACAAGCTGGAGAAACGATGGCTCTACCAGCCTGGTGCTGATGTGGGATCAGAGGTGGCACATCTGCACCCTGTGTCTGTGTTCTCCTGGCCCCCCGTGACAGCAGAGGGGAGAGCCAGGAGGTCACTGTGAGGGACAGGCAGAAATATGACTGCAAGGGGGGATTAAAAAAGAGCACATACAAAAACTGCACTACAGTTATGAATATATCTATTTAAAAACCTATTAAACCCCATCCCACAGGAGCTGGTAGTGAGAAGTGCTCCTGTGTGTGCTGGGTGGCACAGGGTGAGAAGCCTCAAGAGACAGAGCTTGCAGGCTCCCACCAGCTTGAAGGATGTGTCCCTTTTTCCTCTCCTTTATCTGCACCAAGATAAGAGCCAGGAGCTTCAGGCTTCTCTGTATGACACCCCCCACCTCCCCTCCCATGACCACCCTCACCAGTGCGGTGGTTTTGGTGGCTCCTTGCTCAGAGGAGAGAAGAGGGGAAGGGAGAAGAAAAAAAAAAGCAGGAAAATATTCTCCCAGCCCGGTGGGGCTGACACTAAGCAGGAGCCAGCCCTTCCTTCCGCGCCCGGCTCCTCTTCAGCTGCGCCGGCTGATATGGTTTATCTGAGCAGCGCCGAATGTAAACGCTGTCAGCGCCGGCCGGGATTAATTCCCGGGAGTTTGGCAGCCGAGAGATGAAATAACAGCGCTGCGGGAGGGGGGAGCGGGAGGGGGAGAAGTGCACATCTCAGACTGAAAAATCCTCCTGGTTAATTTACAGCCAGGTTTCTCTTCTCCCAGGCACTCTTGAGAGAAAGAGCAAAGCCGGGGGCAGAGGGAGGGTGGGGGAGAGGAACGGGAGGAGGACGAGGAGGAGGACTCCTGGAGCGGAAGGCTGGGACCCAAGGGAGGGGGGATGACTGGCAAACCACGCTTGCCCCGCGTGCCCCACGGTGACAGGGACACTGTGGCTGGTGGGGTCCACGGCCCACAGCCCCCAGCCCAGCCCAATCACCCTCTGGTTTTGCAGGATCCCTCGGGCGCTGGTGGAGGAAGCAGCGCCGAAGGCACCGAGGTGCTCCCGGACACCTGAGCCCCGACAGCCGGCACCATGCAGGGAGAGGAACCCCCTCTGCTCTCCACTTGCACTGGCCTGGGGGGACACTCCCACCCCCCCACTGCCCTCTCCTTGGGGAGCAAACCGCCAAAAAGCACATTCCCATCGAATATTCCCGTATTCGCACTAAACACCGTGAGATCACCCAAGGACTTTGCTGCTGGGAGGACTCCCAGCCCAAAAAAGGTGGGACATCTACTGCTGTTTATTACAAACCCCTTTTCATTAATTGACAAGTATATTTGCTTTAAGGGAAGGCTTTAGAAAACTGCCCCGCAGATGCTGTTTTTTCAAGGCTGATGTTTCAAACAGCTCCTAAAATAAAATAATCATCAGGCTCTGCCACATTGCTTTGGTTTATGTTTATATAGCAGAGGGATTTGGTTTGAGGGTACTTTTCTAAGCAACAGGGCGGTTTTCATTTACTTTCTTTAGATATTTCAGTAAATAACCACAAATACTTTCACTTATTTTTATTGATTTCTTGGTAGAGGATTGGCTGGACAAAAAGCCCAGCAGTGCATGAAGGTAAATTGGTTTATTTTAAACTTAGGAAAGCCCATCTCTCTGCCAAGAGCTGTGCATCACTCGGGACTCTCCTAACAGCAGATTATGGTTTTACTCAGGATTTAATAATCTATTTTATATCTACCTACATCTAATGGCCTGTGCCTGCCAGAGCACTGAGTGACATCTGCACTGACTCTGGAGGTGATGAGAGAGTGCAAAAGGCAGGAAGCAGATCCTGGAAATGGTACTGTCAGCTTTGGGAACCTGATTTAAAAATAATCCTGATGATGATGGCTGGGTAGGGGGTCAGTGAGACAGTGTTTGTACCCCACTCTGTGGAAACCCACCCATGTCATGGTTCACTTTGGGACCAGAGGCTGGCAGAGGGTTTGGGGTGATGGCAGAGAAGGCTGCCTGAAGGGTTGGCATGTCTGCAGAGGTGTTGTGCCTGCAGGCACTGGGGTGCCTGTGGAGAGATGGGGTGCCAGCAGAGAGGCGGGTGCTGGTGACGGTGTGCTGGGGAAGCACCTGTTTTGGCAGTCCAGCCTTGCTCTCCACCAAGCCCCCACCTGCCCTGGGATGCTGTATCGAGAGGTGCTGAAGCATCCTTGGCCCCAGCTCTTCCCCAGCCAGGAGAGACCAGGGCTGATGGAGCTCTGTTTCCCACACCAGACCAGCTGCTGGATACAGCTTGGCTTGGCACTGGTGGCAGGCAGGGAACCTCTGTAAAGCTGAATGCTGGTAAACACCACACTGCAGCATCTGCTCAGCCAGGTATGGATCCACCGAGCCCAGCACAGGGTCAGGCTTGGCAGAAGGAGCCACTGGGAATGCTGGATAAATAGCAGGGGGCAAGGAACATTGCTTCTCAAAGGTCACCATTTCCTCTGTATTGCTGTGAATTCGCCCACTTTGATCCGTCCTCCCCTCCACAGCAGCATCCTCTGCCCCAGCCCCTGTCCCAGCAGCTCCTGCTGACCCCGGCCCAAGTGCTGGGGGGTGGAGCAAGTCCCCATCAAGTCAAACTTTTCCCAGCCTTATCATCTGACTGGGCAGAAAATCCCCAAGGCTGGACCATCAAAGGGAGCAGGCAGCTCTCAGCCTCCTGCCCTTTCCTGCTCCACTAAATCACTCTAGAGTCCTCCCAAATGCTTATTCTTTGAGAAAGCAATAAAAGAAGAGGAAACTTCAGAAGACAAACTCCCACTAGCCTGCCTTTGATTACATTTGATATTGTTTTATTCCTTAATGCTTTCCCACTGCAGGCTGCCTGAGGAGGAAGGGAGGG